CCCCCGCCCCCTTTCCCTCTGGTAATCACCACACTGTTGTCTGTGTCTTTGAGGTTTTACTTTGCTTAATCCCTTCACCTTTTTCACCCAGCCCTGCAACCCCTCTCCTCTTTGACAGCTGTGAGTCTGCTCTCTAATCTACGAGCCTGTTTCTATTTTGTTTGTTGATTTTGTTCATTAGATTCCACATAGGAGTGAAATCATAGAGTACTTGTCTTTCTGTGACTGGCTTATTTCACTTAGCATACTGCTCTCCAGGTCCATCCATGCTGTTGCAAAGGGTAAGATTTCCTTCTCTTTTAAATACAGCTTATGAAGTGCTAGTAAAAGGTGATTCTAAATGAAACTGATATTCAAATATACGTCCTGATTTGTAACCAACATCATTGGCGAAGTTTAGAGAAATGTTAAGAGGGTACAGTTAACCTGGGAGTTTTCCACCTATTCATTCAATAAACACTTACGGGATGTCTGACTAAGCTCATTATACTTGATTTCCATGTAATTTGTTACGAGATATTTTTTAAAATCTCAAGGTTCTGGCCAGAATCTTCTGTGGTTCAATCATCACTAGCAAAAGCGCACGTACTTTTCTTGAAAATTATCAATATTTTCTTCTAAGTTACACTTTGGGGACAGTCAAAAAGTAGCAATGTCAGACTAATTGCACTAGTAATAAAAGGGCCCAGGCGGCTGGCTTTGATCTGGGGAACCATCTGCAATGCAGACCACTTTGATGTTCCACACAATGGAAGCATAAATATTTTCTATGTACTCCATGATTGGGCTTTCAGAAATCTAATTAAAATGAAGGTCAATTAAGAGAAAATAAAATCTTAACTCCAAAAGTCAGAGAAGAGGTGGAAGATGATGGAATGGCTGTGTGTACATAAAAGACGCCAACTAACCTAATTACAACTTGTATAAACACCCAGAGAAAGTGACTTTCATGTGAAAAAAAAGGTCCTAAAGCATTTTATAACATTGAGATCATTAATGTGTCTTTGAAACACACCCAGTACTGGAAAAGAATAGTAATATTGGCATTTTGAAACTCTATTACAAAAAAAAAAAAAAATGCAGACAGCTAGGGAATGAAAGCACTTCAGAGCTCATCAAATGCAGCCCCTTGCTTCTTGGAAATGAGTGTCATAAATGTCTACGGCAGAGGTGTAGTCACAGGATTCTCCTAGGTCCGCTGTGCAGAAGAATCTGAGGGCTGCTTTCGAGGGCTGCAAGGCTGGAGGAAGGCCCCTGGAGGCAGTGCAGCCCAGCCTGCTGGCTCACCTTAGGCAAGTTTCCTCAGCAATCTGGGCCTCCATTTCCCAATTTTTTAAAGCTGAACCAATAATACTTATCATATGAGTTTACGGTGAATATTAAATGACAAATGGAAATCCCTTAATCCAGTGCTGCTCATTGTAGGTAATGAGAATTAAAAACTCCTCCTTCGCTCCCTCTTTTTCCCGAGAGCAAGAGCTTTAGACTCAAACTGAGTCTGAGTCCCTTTCTCCCCGTGTCACTTAGGAAAAGCTATTTCACCTCCTTGGGCTTCGGTGTCTCAAACTTTAAAATGGAGTTAATTATACCTACCTTCCCAAAGAATTTATAGTGAATCACTGGCACATAGGTAAATGCATGGAGGACTCAAGAAAACAAAAAGTAACCCACCACAGCCTAAAGCATAGTTTCAAACAGGGGTTGTCTGTGCATCCGTGTGTGTGTCCATGTGATGTGCATATGTATATATATCTGTGTATGTAGGGGATATGTATATGTGTGTGCATGTAGAAATAGAAATATTTTATATTTATATATGTGTGTGTGCATGTGTATTAAATCATAGGGGGGAGAACTGTCAGTATATCCCTTCATCCCTGTCACTAGCCACAGTTGCATGATGTGAAAACTTGAATTTGAATGCTGTGGAAAGTCACCCCTAACTGAAAAGGGTAAACAAATTCTCTCTATTCTTTTCTTAGGTGACACATATCATATGAATCCACCCCCAACCTCCATCTTTTGAACTACCTCTAAGGATTCTTTCATCTGAGAAATTCAAAATATGCCCACTTACCTATGCATCTTAGAGAAATATTTCTTTCTAATGCCCATATTTGTGACAAATAAATAAAATTAACTTAGTAGGTATCCCTGTTAGCCTTCAGGGATAGATATATGTATATGACCACAGTGGCTTGAGTTTGTTCCCAAGGCCAATTAGTTAAATGGCAGAAGATAAAATACGATCTTGGGTTATTCCCTCTGACAAACAATGCATTAAGATAAAAAATTCCATTTAAAGCAGATATGAATTGTTGCTTTTTTCCAAAGTGGTACGACCTTGGTCTCCACAAAGACCCAAATAGCGATTGCCAGAAAGGCTGGGGCTGTCTGATCATGTTTTCTTAATTCTACAGTCTGAGTAAAAGACAGAGTGTATTGTTAAATGTATTATGGGTTATATTTAGAGTTGGTAGAGTTGATTTATCAAATTCAAAGGCCAATTCCTGCCCTTGTATGTGTCGAATGTATAAATGTGCATCCCTGACCAAAGGAACATCTGCTTGAAATGCAATGTTCTCTTGCTAATGGGATGTTTAGAGCTCATGTCAGGTGGAGGTGGGCCCTGGGTGCACAGCATCTGCTGGCTGCTGCTATACTCACAGTTCACAGTGACCTTGACTTGTTTGACGTCGGCCGAGGCGACCTCATTGGCAGCTTTGCACTCGTATTTGCCCGACTGCTCCCTGGTGATGCCAAGGATCTCCAGATATTCTTCTTCTCCTTCAAATTCTCTTCCTGAAAAACAGAGGTTTGCATGATTGTCTTGTAAAGTTTAACATATGCCTCCTTTAACAGATTGCCTCCATTTTTTTTTTTTTTTAGAAGCAATCGTTCCACATGGAGTCTCAAAAATTCAACAATGTGCTCTGTCTGAGGTCAATTCCATGGAAACAGACCCCAAGACAAAAAGTCATGTGGAAGTGATTAAAGAGGAAGTGTTCTTAGGAAAACCAGTAGGGAAATGGGAAGTTGGGACCCAGCAAGGAAGAAGCCAAGCGAGGGTGCAAGTCAAGTTCACAGAAGGCCAGCCGGCTCCATCCCTCGGGGAGCCCTGAGAACAGCACATGCCCCACTTCCAAGCTGTCCTGACCAAGAGGCAAGAAGCTAGAGTGTTTATATGTCTGCATCCCTCAGTCATTGGTTAAGGGCTCAGAATAAAGTGGGAGTTGGGGGGAGGTGCACACAAGTTGTAAAGGGCTCAGCAGGGCTATGGGTGAGGCATTGACATGATCAGTTACACCATGCTGCAAAGCTACTCTTGTAACCAAGGACGTTGTTATAAGGAGATGTGGCTTTCTTCTGAGAAATTGTCCCTCTTCTCCCCCCGCCTCCTTTATGTGGAATTCTGTTCACAAGGGTGGCGTTCAAAACCCTGTCTTGCAGTTATGGCTTCTTTGTTCAGTATGAAACTACACCATTGCTGAGGCTTCCAGGCCACGGACAGATCCACGAGAATGTGCTGCTGATGGTGCATTTTGTGACAGACTGTCACATGGTGTGACAGGAGGGAGCTAAGTACCATTGGCTTAAACAGTTGGGACTAGGAGTCTGAAGGTCCTTTTTGGAAAGTTCTATAAAGTTGGATGTTTCCATCATAGTAAGGAAATCTCAAGATTGGCAGGCTGTTTAATTTCCCTCATGTGGAGTAAAAAATGATCAGGTGACTTTCTTCATGAAGAGAGGGAGGGGATAGATAATGAAGAGGAAATGGAGGGGGAAGAAAGGAGAAACGGACAGAGGAGGTAAAGAAGAAAAGTTGAGGAGGAAGAGCTTGACCAGAAAGGCCTATGGACTTCAAGTCTAGCTAAATTAAACCCACTCACCCCCAAGTTGCAAAACCCCACTGCTGCTTGGGTCAGAATGGAACAGCTGGGAGAGTACTAAAGAACACAGCTCCGCCATCTCAAAGAAATCTTGCTCCTGATCATCCTACACGAAATGGTACCAATTAATAGCTTTGCTCAAATGCCACAAGCTGTTTTCCTTTTCTGGAAATTCCCTGATGGCCACATCAACATACCAGGCAGCCAGCACAGAGACAAACTCATCATCTAAATATGTCAACTAAGCCTGGTAACTAGGTTCCCAATAGAACATGCAGCCTCTTTGATAACAGTCTATAAGACAACTGTCAGGAACTTAAGTCTTGACACTCCAAACTTAAGTCTTCTGTCAATGTCTCTATCATGAGCTTTGAGGAAACTGCAATCCCAGCAATAACAAGGCAACAGTTATATAAAGTTATTTGGTTCTGAAGTCCTAAACATGATCTAGCACACCTACTAAAAAGTGTTTTAGAATAAGTTTATAAGTATACAGTTGCAAATTATTTATAAAAGGCTACTTTTTTCCCTTTATCTCTGTCTCTCCTTTTTTCTTCTGCACACATTTAAGCAAGTAGTCAGACCTGATTTCACAGGTCACAGAAGTGGAATGTGATAGAAAAGAAAACAGAAATCCCAGAAAGTGTAACAGTCCACTTTATTGGATTAGATGGGCAGGATTTGAGCCCGTAGGAGAAAAAAAAATCCTGCATACTTGTATCTATGGCCTGAAAGTCATGCCAGCTAACTGATGCTAAGAATCTTCTAGCTAAACATAAATGCCCTGAAGACTAACCGCAGCTCTGACTGTTGCAGGCCAAAAGCTCATTACAAATCTGTAGGGCAGGGGGGAAACTGACAGTAAGACATAATTATCAATTTTGAGAATAATGATGGGTTGAATGCAAAAAGAGTTAAAGATGATTTCAGAATGTTTTAGGGTTTCTGTCCCACACCCTTCAGCCTTATTCCCAGGTGGCTACAGAAGCAATTAAAGGAAAGAGAGGACAAGTGTGGTCTCCTTAGAGATGGTTCACAACACTGAACTCTTTTCAACTCCCAGAAAATACCTAGAAATGATGAGTAATAGATCCCAATCTTGCATTTTGAACTTTTGAAAGATATAAATCAGTTCCAGGAGAGAAAAAGATAATTTTAGCAACAGCACCACCTAAGGCCCTACCAGTTTGGGAAGACAGCACCGTAAGAATAAACGTTAAGATGAACTAGAGAAAACAAAATAATATTTATCAGGCTTTGGACTTGGGATTCTTCTATGCCAATGTAAGTATTAATAATCTCATTTTTTCCTGACAAGCAGATAATAAAACAGATCTTCATGGGATGAATTTTCAATCCTACATCTCTAGGAAGAACTTCCCCCATTCCTGTCAGAAGAGAAAGGGGGAGTTTTTTTTAAATGCCCCACCAATAAGGCAGAAATATCACTTTTGCTTCTCCCATAACTTTTCCACTCTATGGCTGCCTCTATCACAAGCATCCAAATTACATAGCTGTTTCAGTAGTGTGGGGGAGTCTCAAAGTGCAAGCCAAATACAGGTAAGAGAAACTAGCCTGATGAGAATTTAAAATATTAAACAACATCCCTGAGCCCTCCTTCTTGTCATTTTTTCTTTACCCCTGGATCCTCTAGTTGAAACTCTTGCACTGCCAGGCACTTGCTAGCCGTTTTTACTTGCATCCACAGGAGACTTCGCCCACAACACATTATATCTCTCCTATTCCACTTGAGGATTTCTCAATCCACAGTGTTTTGAGAGGAAATGGGAGCTTTTCTGTTGCTGGAAAGCCCAAGGACCACACTGTAAATTCCTCAAGAACCGTGCTTTACTCGCAAAGCCCCATGAGACAGCCCAGGGTTTGGCAAGATTAGTTACACCATAAATGTCTGTTGAGTTAGCAGAATCCAAACATAAGTAAAAGCTAGAGTCATGTTCAAGATATCATAGAGCTTAAGAGTAAGGAGATAAGTACTGAAAGGTGGCTAAGTATTTCTGTAAGAGAAGCTGGTGTATAAATCCACTCCCTTGTAATGATCCTAATAAGAGTACTGTACCCTTTTCCTGGGGAAGGACAGATGTGCTCAGTACTCTGCTGTACTAGGCTGAAGGGGCATCTCTGGTCACATCCTAAGGATGTATCTGCTGTGTAGAGTTATTATTTCAGAAAAAGGTGCAGAGACAACAAGAGAGCCCCTGATGGAAACAGAACAATGCCATTTCTTTCATCTAAGCAAGTGCAGTTTCTTGTTTCAAGGCAAAGAATACACCGCATTAGTCTTGAGTCACAAAACTCTAAAGTGCACTCAGATTCTCTCGTTCCTCACCCTTTGGCCCAATGTGTCTGTCTCCATCAGAGCACCTTTCTCACATTTTTTCAGTTCACTCTGACTAGCTGCTCTTAACCCAAGGGTCCTGTCACCATTTCCTTTCATTCGCTCAACCTTAAGAAGGCTCTCAGGCCAGAACGTGACATTTAACCTGTCGTTCAGTTCTCTGTGGAATAAAGTCCTCTGGCTACAACTCGGACCCTTTGCTTGTTCCCATCTATTATTTTCTGCCCTTGTACAATGTTTACTTGATATGCACATTTCAATATTTTGCTATTTCAAACATCTCAACCTATTTCCACAAGCTTGCTCACATTGCCGAGTGTTATATTTATTCTGGGATCTGGTGCTTAGTTTAAATCTCCCTGTGCTTTTGAGTCTCCTGGCAATATGCAGTTACCAGGCTATATAATGCCTTGTCCCCCTCCGTGTATGCACCTTCCAAACTCTTGCACATAATGAGAAACTGTTTACTCAAGTTGTACATATTAGTTCTTTTAATATTTCTTCATAAGTCAGAAAGAAGGTCCTAGAGCTAATGGCAAGAGGGAAGTGTTCTCTTTTGCGCTTTCCTAACAGAGGAAATCAGCCAGGACTACTCCGGTTAGAGTATGCCAGGTGCTGCCTCCGAGGTACAGTGCCTTCAGAGTACTGACCCTGCCTCCGTGAAACTTGTAGAGATCACATTCAAAATGTTGGTTTATTTAGATTTTCAAGGTCAACTAGGCATTTGTACTCAAGCAGCCATTTCAAATCAAATACATTTCACCCTGGCTGGTGTGGCTCAGTTGGTTGGGCACCATCCTGTGCACTGAAAGTTTGCCAGTTCAATTCCTGCTTGGGACACATGCCCAGGTTGTGGGCTCAGTCCTCAGTGGGAGGTGTGCAGGGGGTAGCCGATCAATGTTTTACTCTCACATCAATGTCTTTCTCTCTCTCCGTCTCCCTCTCTTTCTGAAAGTAAATAAAAAATATTAAAAATAAAATAAAATATATTTCCATGGCACTNTTTGCCAGTTCAATTCCTGCTCGGGACACATGCCCAGGTTGTGGGCTCAGTCCTCAGTGGGAGGTGTGCAGGGGGTAGCCGATCAATGTTTTACTCTCACATCAATGTCTTTCTCTCTCTCCGTCTCCCTCTCTTTCTGAAAGTAAATAAAAAATATTAAAAATAAAATAAAATATATTTCCATGGCACTTCTTTCTCACTTTCTCTCTCCTTCCCTTTCCTCTCCCCCCAACCCCATCTTCTCTCCTTTTCTCTCTCTCCCCCCCTCTACACACACACACACACACACACACACACACACACACACTCACACACTTGCAAACAGCTATTTATTTATATATAACCTTCCAGTCTAACTTTTAGGGAACAGCAGCATACAAATTCACTAACACCCAAATATTTGCTCACTAAATAGAGCAGACCTATTCTTGAAAATTCCCCAGAATNTCACACACTTGCAAACAGCTATTTATTTACATATAACCTTCCAGTCTAACTTTTAGGGAACAGCAGCATACAAATTCACTAACACCCAAATATTTGCTCACTAAAT